TTTTTTGCAGGCCAATCCAAGTGGAAAATTGCAAGCATCAGACCCTCAAAAAAACAATCGTCTTCCATGTTTTCTTCCATGTTTTAAATTGATAATCGTCTTTTGACTAGTCCCAAATGACTGACTCCGAAGTGTCCTTGAACAAGGCCAAGATTCGCAAGCGCTGGGCGTATTGGCCAAGCTTGTCCGGGTCGGCAGATGGATCATCATCTCTGCGCGCTCGATCTCTGTTAAAAACTTAGTTGCGTCGCAGCTGTGCAAACAACCAATAAAGGTTGGCAAGGACCGACACCGGACATTACTGAAAGCACGTGTTGGAGTAAAGCTTCAAATCCACCTTTCATTGTAACTATAACCTCAACTAACCATGGATGGGTTGTTCACCATTGAAAAAAGAAGTCTCTGCGTATTCCTTAGACTAGTCAATGGTTGGTGAAAGTTTCAACATCGAGTTACAGGAGCCCGACCACCGACAACAGTTGCCCTCCCAAGTGGCCTTGTGGGGCCAAGGCCGCAGCATCTTTGACGACAATCCTGGGCAAATGACAAAGTACTGTAGGTCTCCACTCTTCGTCGGATATATACTGTTTGAACCTCGGCTGCAAATCAAGCAACAACTATTAATGCAGACAATCTTACAGGCGAAATCAATATTGCTTGGCAGCAACAAAATGAAATACAATGAACAATTTGACTTGCAGGCCCGTGGCCTCACAATCACGTCATCGCCTGAAAGATCAGGCAGCCCTCGCTTTCTCCAGAAAGCATTGTTCACAACCTCATTTGCCAGTCCTGGGAAAGGCACCCTCACTCAAGAGTGAAAATCACAAATAAACAATTCTGGAATTGATTCTGGTGGCAATTTCCTACTGAGCCTTCCTGGGCCACGACAACACGGTGAAGGCTAACTTTCATGGCCGAAAGGCTTGAACATATTTTTTATTCCCTTTCAAGCAATTCTTTCACAGCAAATGCAAATGATAAGTTTTGGAGTTGGGCGGCTGATGAGAGCTGGCTTTAGTTTTAGCTGCTGTCCTGTGTCAGCCGCTCTCTCAAAACTGTACAGGTGTGGTGCACCGGGTCCACCCACGCCCTTCAAGGTGTTTGAAGGCACGAGGCAATGCAAGTGGTCTTTCCTTTGCGGATTCCGACGGCTAAAAAGTGTGGTGCACAAGTTCAAAAGGATGCCCTAAGGTTTGGAACCTAACCCTTAGAAAATAGGAGACATCAGAAATCAGAAAGCGTCAATCAACAACCTGTCACGGACATAAAAATTAACTACTATAGCAAAATCAAAGCAAGACGCCAAGACCTGACTTGATCCAGCAACACAACCTTCTTCATGGGCTCTAGAGGACGCACGGTTGCCAACCAAGATTGCAAATTGTCAACAAAATCTGTTGGTGTATGGAGCGAGCTGGATGATGAGATTCTGTCACATAGCGAGGAGAAAAACTGGCCCAGATCTTCGTGGCTGTGGCCTGCCTGGAGGGTGCGCAACTGTGCCTTTTGCACCCTCCGGCAGGCCACAGCTCCTGATAACAGACGCATCACACTGTTGTTCTTCAGTTCTTTGGAGGAGTTGTCTCCTTGAAGTATTATGGACGACGCTGGCAGATTACATTGGTCAGGGGGGAGCTGAGACAAAAGGTTCAAGCAATACTCGATGATGTCACATGTCCACGAGCTGTCCTGCCGTGTGAACGGCTGCCCAAGAACTAGCACCACACCGTAGCCGTGTATCAAGACACCAGTACAGCGAAGGGACGGTCTGACAAAATTCGAGAAGCACTTCGACTGCATCGATAAATCCCTTGGCGCTGCAAACTTGGCATGATCTACAGAATCGAGAGTAAGTACAATGAGGCGCTCCCCAGTGGATTGCAATCCCATGCGAGAAAGAGAAAGCGCGCGGCTGCCCCAGTAGGTGGTCCGGTCGGCGTAGTGCTTCTCCAAGTGCGCTCGGTACAAGCGCATTTGCTCAGCTTTGGCTTCTGGTTGGTACTGCAAACGTCGAAGCAGAAGCTTGTAGCGAATGCAAAGCGAGCACGCCTTGTGCTGGCTTTTTGGCCGGATCACCAAGTGGTCTCTGAAGTTCTCCTCCCAAACCTTGCGACAGAGGGCAATTGGATGAGGCATTGAGGTGGGAAAGTTCACAAAGCGAAAAAAGTTTTGAAGTCCCAGCCGCTCGGGTGAAGACCTTTCGACTGATGCGCAAGTCTGGATTGTCTGCCTTGCACATGTCCCAATACAGGCCAATAGTTCCTGGAGGCAGAAATTTGATGGTTGGCGCAAAACCAGAACTCCTCTCCTCCCGCTTTACAAAGTGTCGCGGGCGTTTGCCCCGTCGCTTCACTCGCCGCGCTCGATTTGTAATTTCCACCACATCCTCAGCCTGTCTGCCCTCAGGTAAAGGCTCGGCTGTCGAGTGGTACAGCTTCGTCAAATATTCATGAACTGCTGCACGCGCACCGTCACTCGGAATGAGTGTTGTGTGCCTCTTGACGCCATACCTTCCATCTCCTGGTGGGTCTGCCCGCCCTTGGACAATTGCATTCCTCAATCTGGTAAATCGACTCTTTCCTACACCAAGCAACAACCGCCAGGCACGCTGGCAGACTGGGTGCCCACTCAAAGTCAAGCCCCCCCTCTGGTCGACGTCTTGCATCTTGAGCGCGTGCCAAACCTCATTACTACATCTCACTACCAGAAAGAGAAACACCCTGAAAATCATCGATGTGGAAGGCACCAGGGTTGAGGGATATCCCTTTTGATGGGCCTACCATTTTCAATCCAAATCACCTGTCAACATTGATAGTACATAATAATAATATACAAGTATACTAAATATAGGCATACATAATATTACTTAACAATATATAACAAGGAAAAATTTCATATTGCGATCTGCCTTCATTTCAGTCCTGATGCCTGAAACCTGGCACTCGTTTCCGCTCCGGTGCAAACAACAACTTCACAACAACCAGCCCGAATAAAGTGTCCTTGGGATTGCCCTGCCTCGCGGTCAGCTGCTTGCTTCTCCATCTGAAGCAACTTCAACCGTTCAGCACGGACAGCGGTCAAAGTGGCTGGGTCGCGAAATGGTTTGACGCAATTCGCCTTGCATCTGCAGTTCGACTTGGTTACTTCCAGCAGCCGTGATTGGGCTTGATGAAACCTATCGACATCATCAACCTTCTGGCGCTTTTGCCTCGCTGCGCAAGACAAGGGTGGTCGAGGAGGCTCCGTCAATTTGTCCGCGTCACATTGCCCACCATCGGCGCTTATGGTTCCATCAGACAGCTCGTCCACATCTTGCATCTGTCCCCAGTCCCCAGCATGGCGGTCTACTCTGTGCACTAGTCGGTCTTCAAACAACATGGCTACCAAAGTTGATTTGGGTAAACACGCCTGCAATTTATTAAGGTAATGTGGCTTTGCTTCTGTGGCGCCCTGACTCTGGAACTGCAATCTATATAGATCTCCCCATTCTGGAAAACCGGCGGCGTGGGCCTAGCAACATAGCACAACACTGTGACTTAAAAGGCCCACAAAAAGTGAGTGCATCAAAGATTGAATGCTTTAGGATCAACGTTCATCATTGCGAGACGTCAAACAATAGCACAACGCCGGGACTAAAGAGGGCCACTTGTTGATGATAATGAGGATCAACTTGTGAGAGCATGCAGCACTGCCCTTTGCACTTCCGAGAGAACGGCAGCTTCAAAAAAATCTAGGCTATCTAGAATCTAGATCACCATTCCTTAGCTATGGCAACGCCCCATGGAGCAAAACGCTCTTCAGAGCTTGTCCACGAAGCTTCGCCAAGTCTGCCACGGTGGTTGTGGGATGGACGTTCTTCACTTGGATCTTCTTGTAGTGAACTGTGTGCCAAAGAACCTCTGCCTCAACAATGAACAGCATGAAGACCACATGAGTGATTCATCTGTGGAAGAGAACACTACACGCTAGATAACAACAACTTGAATACTGACAACGGTGAGGCGCTGCAGTGTGCTTCTTCTTGTCCAGCTGGCGGGCGACGTGCTCCAGCAAACTGCCTGCCCAAGCGTCACCTGGGAAATTTGCGTTCCGCACTGAAGGCGAATTGAACTCCACTGGATAGGTCACCTGTCCCCTCTTCTCGACCGGCGCTCCAAAGTTCAAGGTCACTGCGGGCGGCTGCAGCTCCTGCACGGCCATGCAATCCTTCGGCTGCGACTTTCCTGGCTGGGCATGAATTGCACATCAAAGAAAGAACGCTCAGACACCAACCAAGTCACGAAAAAACGTCACGAAAAAAGGCAAGATGTCTCTCCCGCAAACCAAGTGACGGGACAAGATCAAGCCACGTCGTCCCTTGTAAGTGGGCGCTTTGGACACCACCCACTTGAAGGACACCATGGGCGACTCGTGGAGGATCACGTCCTTGCCGATGGCCTGGTCCACCTTCAAGCGCAGGAGCCGAGGAGCTTTTGCGAAGTCCGAGCACCACCCTCAAGGCCAAAGTTGAAAGAGAGTTCAAGCAAACAATGGGAAAACTAGGTCCACAATTTTCCAAAGGGAAGAAAAACTGCCCCTCCTCCACTACCAACTCAACAAAGAACAAAGTCCAAGTCAAGTCCAATATAGTCCAGTAGTCTGTTGAGCAATACGCGCGCCTTCACCCATCTCTGGTGTCCCTTGAGCGCGGCTCCCGCACCACGAGGCGAGCAGCGCTTCAACTGCGCGAACTTGGCCACCATTGGACAACACGAGCTAAAGATCGTAAGGACGCGCGCTGCCCAAGGCAAAAATCGAGACTCGCAACCCAAGCAAGCACTGCCTAGCCTAGCTCACAAACGCTGCCACACCGCCCTTGCAGCACTGACGCTTTAGCCAATTAATCTAGTTTACACTGATCTGTTTGTTCCGTTGAAAAACAAAGGCCATGTCAACATGAAAGTTCACCCGTCTTAAATTAACCAAAGCCTTGAGTTTGAGTCTAAGCTGTACATTCCTAAGAAACAGTGCTCGTGAAACAAATCTCTTGAGTGTGTCAGTCCACTCTTTTTTGCTGTCTCCAAAAGTTACTTATTTGCAAAACACAAACAGGGAGCGCTATTCCACACTGGTCACTGGTCGCTTCTTTGCGGGGCACGCACGCTGTACCAAAGGCAAGCCCGCAGCAATTTGGTGGGCGCAAGAACCAAACTATTCCAGCTACTGTCTACCCAGCTTGAATTTCATGGGCTGGTAATACAAATCGTAATACTCTAAAAATTGCCCCCCTCTGCGTCGTTTGCTTCCCTTCATCAGCTTTTCACGTTCTCGACCTGTCATAGATTTCCATTCGGCCTCCCCAATGCCACGAACATGATCTGGGATTGGCGGGACTGACCGCCCAGAAGTAGGCTTGTTTTCACCATCACACGCAAGCGAAGAAGAAGCGCTTGAAGAAACTGCTGCATCCATAGCGCCCCTACCACGTTGTCCCTGGCCTGACCGCTGCTCCACTTCTGTCACATTGTCGCGCTGAAGCTCTGCGTCAGTTTTGTTGTCCACGGTGTACCCCATAGAGTCCGTTTCAAAAGACTTCGGGCGCCGCCCAGGTAGTTCAGCGCTTTCATCCGCCATGGCTGCTCTGCTAAAAGCTTGCAACCGTCTTTTTAGCTACAACGTTAGTTATTCCAAACGTTGTAACCGTTTGTATTCAACCTGGAACAGAATAATATCGTCAGGTAAATACAGGACTGGGTCTTACCTCAGCCTTTTGGTTTGACTCTTTCTGTCAAGCCTCGGGCAGGCAAAAAGGAAACAGATAAGTTGAATCACACGACCACACTGGAAACCGCACTAGGATATCATCTACTAGTCACACTAGCACAAATCGCGTCGCTCGCAATCGTGGTAGCGGTGGGCTCTTGGCGTGGAGGCGCGATGACCAATGAACAAATAAAACAGCAGTGTGAGAGCATCCATGGACACGATGCCGGCAAGAAACAGGAAGTCACACCAAGAAGGAGAAAGTGGACAGGATCAACTACAACAGCGCTCTGTTCTTCAAAGCGCATCAAGGACATTTGGCGTGGTAGTAGTAGTAAGTAGTTGTCATGGACAAACAATGTTTAGCAAATCGGTCCTGTTCCTGATATTATATATGGCAAGCAGCAAGCTGTTGGCACTGGAAACGCACACTAGAGAGCAAACATATGAGACCGCGCCACACATGAAGAGCAAACACATGAGAGCACAGGAGAGCGCGCAAATCAAAAAGCACCAAGACACCTTTTGGGGCTTCAGGCGCCATGACAGCGCCACTCACAACTAGATCCGCCCTACCCTACACTCCCAACACATGGGTGGCAATAAACACGCAGCCTGAATAATTTCGTGTACCCTGAGTTTTGAGAGAAAACTGTATTCTGTTATTCCTTTAATATAATAACATCTGCTTTCAACTGCTCATGGGCACGCTGAGTACAACATGCTTGGCAACGGTATCATGTGTTTTTGACCGCGCCTGGGCATGCTAAACGCGGCTGGCATTCAAACACATACTTGGCAACCCGTATCACGTCGCGCTTTTGGGCGCGCATAGTGCAGCTGGCGTCTCATGTCTGTTTTTGACCGCTCCTGGGCATGCTAAGTGCTGGCGGTCAGACCAAGTCAGACCATGACATGTCTCCAAATCCTATACCCTCA